AACAGTTACAATAGTTGCACAACACCACAGATGTACTGAATACTACTCAATAGGGCACTTAAAATGGTAAATTTTATTATATATATTTTACCACAATTAAAAAATAATACCATAATATACCAAAACCAATGAATTCATACTTCACTTATCTTTTTAAACCAGAATTATCATTTTAATGTTTTAACATTGTCTCACCCAAATTCTGGCTAAGAAAAAAAATTATTTTTTAAATATATACAGATTTTTTTTTATTGTTGGCAGTATTACAGAAGTCTCCCATTTTCCCTTTACCTGCCTCCACATAGCCCCCACTGTCCCCCACCCCAGGTTTTCACCCCCTATTGTCTGTGTCCATGGGCTACGCATATAAGTATATAAGCTCTTTGGTTTCTCTCTCCTGATCCCTCCACCCCCACAGCAAGGTGTGTCAGTCTGTTCCATGCCTCTGTGCTTCAGGCCATATTTTCTTGGTCAATTCATTTCGTCTATTATTATTCCAAAACTAAGTGAGATAATGTGATATTTGATAACAATTCCAGAAACATTCAATTGAGAGTGAAGCAAGTGCATTCCTGCTTTAAACTGGTAGTATTAAAAAATATCACAAGAAATCTCATTATTTAACATACTTTGTACATTTAAATACATTTCATTTTAAATAAATATGTTTAGCCCTAGCTGGTTGGGCTCAGTCGATAGAGCGTTGGCCTGCGGACTGAAGGTCCCGGGTTCAATTCCGGTCAAGGGCACATGCCAAGTTGTGGCTTGATCCCCAGTGAGGGGGGGTGGGGTGCAGGAGGCAGCCAATCAATGGTTCTCTCTCATCATTGATGTTTCCATCTCTCCCCCTCCCTTCCTTTCTGAAATCAATAAAAATATATAAAATAAATAAATACATTTAAAGGTGTACTATAAATTTTAACTATAATAACAAATGGTAATAATAAAGCTTAGATTCAATTTCTTTCAGAAGTATGTAAGAAATTCCCTTTAAAATAGTGTACCTGGGATTCTCCAGTAAAGAGAACAAATAAAAATGTAGCAATAAGAATGTCAGTTGCGCCCAGTTGGTGTTGCTCAGTGGTTGAGTGTTTACTAGGAACCAGGAGGTCACAGTTTGATTCCTGGTCTGGGCATGTGCCCAGGTTATGGTCTTGATCCCCAGTAGGGAATGTGCAGGAGGCAGCTAATCAATGATTCTCTCTCATCATTGATATTTCTAACTTTCCCTTTCCCTTCCTCTCTGTGAAATCAATAAAAATTATATATGGAAATCCTGTTTCTTTGTTACTAATGTTGTGGCCTTACCCCATAACAAAGAAACAGAATTTCTGGAGGATGAGGCCCAGAAATCAGGATTTTAAAAAGATTCCCAGGTGATTCTAATGTGCAGCCAAGGTTGAGAACCACTGGTGTAGGAGAATATGGATAATACATTTGGTACTTTTACAGGTGTAAATGTACCTTTTCTAATGTGATTGCTTCATTCATATCACCTATACTCAATAGTCTCTTATAATTCACTGCTGTTTAAAGCAAAATAACTTGTCAAATGGATGAGCCACTTACATCTATTTTTTGTTACTATTTAGTATCCACAAATGGTAAGTCCCTGTTTTGGGGAACACTAACCATCTCTCCTACATTGCTGACCATGTGCAATTTAACAGTGAACTTCTACCCACTCTCCGCGGTGTGCAGCGGCCTGGTTAGTGCAGTCATCGACTCACCCTCAGGCACCACTTCTGGCCGCGCAGTCTTCTTCAGATGATCCAGGTTTCACGGAAAGATGCACGGCTGCCTCCCTGGGCACCTGTGTGTGCAGGACTCACTTGAGGCCTTTGTGGAATGCAATCTACTCTCACTGCCAGTAGGTATTCGAAGAAATCCTTTAATCCAGTTCTGGCTTGTGGGGAACATGCAGTTCACCCATTTTAGGAGCTTCTCAGAGATGTCATTTTAACTTTTCTTCCCTTTTTAAATTTTAGTTGATATATCTTCATGTAACTTTATGGTTTATGGTATAAATAAATAGATGTATCTTGCCCTAAATTCAAGGACAATGTTACCCAAGACAAAACTCCATTCTATGGAAACAGAGAGACCCTTAGCTCTGTTCTACATAAACGGTACTCCCTGGCGCACAACCCCATGTGCATAGAACATGCAGATTATAATGAATGTGGTAGTTTTGTAGTTCAGCGCTGAGTGCAGCCAGCCCTGGCCAAGGAATTTTTTTTAAATTTTAAAATATATTTTATTGATTTTTTACAGAGAGGAAGGGAGAGGGATAGAGAGTTAGAAACATTGATGAGAGAGAAACATTGATCAGCTGCCTCCTGCACACCCCCTACTGGGGATGTGCCCCCAACCAAGGTACATGCCCTTGACCGGAATCGAACCTGGGACCCTTCAGTCTGCAGGCTGACGCTCTATCCACTGAGCCAAACCGGTTAGGGCGGAATTTTTATTCTTAAAAGATCTTTAACAATGCCATCCACTTTCTCTGAGATAGGGCTGACGTTTTATTATCAAATCTTTTCCTCCCTTTGTACCACATGATGTAGTATTAAGTATATGTTGCCTGATCCATTAAATATTTCAAAGACATCCATGTTTTCTATGACCTAGTCATATCAAATTATACCTGGCAACCAATTTCCTCTCCGCTGGAATAGGTTGAAGCAATTTCTAGAAGAGGAAACAGGTGGCTCTGGTTGGTCCTGATTGGTGTTTGTGGGTCTGGTCAAGTCGATCCACTTCCTTGTGTCTCACTTCTCTGTATATACAGTGGAGACCAAAGTGCCAGACCCAAATCCGCTCAATCTAAGACAATTATGTGAAGCATTCTCTGATCTCTTCCTTAATGTGGACAAGCATAGCTGATTGCCGTGTGTGGTAGGATATTGTTTGCTGTTTTTCCCCAGCATGTTGCTGAGGAAAGGAGAGTTTTCAGTAAGTGGAAGGGTTTTTCTGGTTATGTTATTGGTGAAAGGGGGGTATCCCTCTCCCCACTGGGTGCTGGGGGCCAGAGCCGTACGATATCGAGGGAAGGTGAGTGATTTTTATTTGCATGGAGTTACATCTCTGGGTTTTCAAAGTCCCATTTCCCTTAATCCAGTCCTGGGAGGTGTGTAGCTGGGGAGTGAGTAGAGCCAGCAGCAAAGCCAGCACCCGAAGTTTCCATTCCATGGGGGAATTGAGTCGGGTACAGCATCAGACTAGTTGTAGTCCATTAGTCCATTAATGTAGGAGCGTGAGAGCTCTGCAAGCCAGGACTCAAGAGAGCAAACTCCTTCGTTTAGGAGCTTAAGTATCTCAAATCTTCCCGTGCTTGCAGTGGTCACATCTACCCTGGCCAATGACTGTCCCCAGGGGTGACTGACAGGCCAGTACCTTCCCCATGTCACCCAGACTTTACTGGGCATGGGTCTGTTCTTCCACCTGTCCAGTCCCTTTCCCCAGCAGCGGACAGACTGGTGACTATAATATTTGGTCTTCCCCTGGCTCCTTTCCAGTTACTCCTCACTAGGTTAAATTGCTGTGGTGTCAGTTAGAGACTCTGCCTTGCATGCATCTGAGCCATGTCTGCTAATATGCAATTAGTGGTGCTAATACGCAATCACTCACTACACAAGCTGCTCAAATATTCAAGAAATGGGGTTTGTGATTATATGATAACAACATAACATCCTCTTACTGCCCCAGCATATGTTCTAGAATTTTTCTGCTAGTCAGCCGTTATATATCATTTTCACAATCAACCAAAACCAAGAGGGAGTATTTAATTCATAACCTTGTCCTGTCAAATCGCTCCTATTTATTTACTGCTTATCCATTGAATAACTTTTTAAAAAAATATTTTTTTATTGATTTCAGAAAGGAAGAAAGAGAGAGAGATGGAAACATCAATGATGAGAGAGAATCACTGTTTGGCTGCCTCCTGCACAACCCATACTGGAGATCGAGCCTGCAACCTAGGCATGTGCCCTTGACTGGAATTGAACCTGGGACCCTTCAGTCTGCAGGCCGACACTCTATCGACTGAGCCAAACCAATAGGGCCATTGAGTAACTTGTTCATGAAGACAGTATTTTATTTTATTTTTGTTTTGTTAATCCTCACCCGAGGATATTTTTCCATTGATTTTTAGAGAGAGTGGAAGGGAAGGGGAAAGACAGACAGAGAGAGACAAACATCAATGTGAGAGAGACACATCGATTGGTTGCCTCCTGCATGAACCCAGACCAGGGCCAGGGATTGAGCCTTCAACCAAGGTATGTGTCCTTGACTGGAATTGAACCTGGAATCCTTCAGTCTGAACGCCAACACTCTATCCACTGAGACAAACCAGCTAGGGCAGCGGTTCTGAACCTGTGGGTCGGGACCCCTTTGGCGGTTGAACGACCCTTTCACAGGGGTCGCCTAAGACCATCCTGCATATCAGATATTTACATTACGATTCATAACAGTAGCAACATTACAGTTATGAAGTAGCAATGAAAATAATTTTATGGTTGGGTCACAACATGAGGAACTGTATTTAAAGGGCCAGAAGGTTGAGAACCATTGAGCTAGGGCATGAAGGCAGTATTTTAAAAATTAAGAATGCATATACACTAAAGTGATTGAATATGGATTCCAGTGTTCTCAGACAATAGAATATTCACGTATGACACAGAATGCATCAGCTTTTATTTCAAACTGTGCTTCTCTCAAGGTGGACCTAACAGAGTCTGCATTAAACAAGAGAAAGCCTAAACATGTGTCTTACATGACTTGACCAACTTAACTAAAGACCAAACAGACATTTTTAAATACCAGAAGTGGTATAACCAAATAACAGTTTACACGAAGATTGCAAGAATTCAACACCGAGGTAAAACCTCTGTGATACAATGAGGTAAATAAACTCTACTTTTAATGTGGCTACTTGCATCTTTATTCTACTGAAGACACAGCATAAAAAGGAAGTTTGGGACATATATTCTGGACTTCTACATGTTAATCTGAAGGCTACAACCTAGAAATAACAATACAACCGTTTAGCCACTGATTTAGAAAGCTAGGGTGAAACGGAACTAGTGAGTCCTGTTCAATCAATCACGGGCTATAACAGGATGCAACAGAACACAGTGATGTTTGTATATCTGTCCAGTAGTCCTACCCAGAGGTCCAAGGCAGCCCCAGATCGGCCTGTGTGGGGCTGACACGGTGGACAGATGGATCACATAGCTCTCCCCATCTGGGCCTACAGGATGTCAGAGTACAGTTACTGAGTTTATGAAGGCAGATGAGTTTCAAATCCAGATGCTTGTACCTGGGTCTGTTTGTGACACTTTACTCTGTGTTCATCCCCTTAGATGGTCTAGCAACTATTCTAAGCTTAAAACTTCAATTTTTAAGAATTACTGAGAGCCCTGGCTGGTTTGGCTCAGTAGATAGAGCATAGGCCTGTGGACTAAAAGGTCACAGGTTTGATTCCGGCCAAGGGCACATGCCCAGGTTGTGGGCTCGATCCCCCGTAGGGGGTGTGCAGGAGGCAGCTGATCAATGATTCTCTCTCATCATTGATGTTTCTCTCTCTCTCTCCCTCTCCCTTCCTCTCTGAAATCAATAAAAATATATTTTAAAAAATTACTGAGAATTCATAAAAGAATTTTTGAGTCATAAAAAAAATCAATAAAATGTTTCCAAGAAACCTGAGAAATCCTCCGATGATTTCCAAGAGGCCCTCTGAGGCTCACTGGCAGAGGACTGTTCAAATGCCACAATGTCCGTCATTTGATATGTACTGGAGATGAAAAACTGCATTTTGAACAATGTATTATTATTGGTCACCAAGGTAGGTTTCTAAATTTACATTTTCTAAAATTTTTTAAATATATTTTATCGATTTTTTACAGAGAGGAAGGGAGACTGATAGAGAGTTAGAAATATCGATGAGAGAGAAACATCAATCAGCTGCCTCCTGCACACCCCCTACTGGGGATGTGCCCCCAACCAAGGTACATGCCCTTGACCGGAATCGAACCTGGGACCCTTCAATCTGCAGTCCGACGCTCTATGCACTGAGCCAAACCGGTCAGGGCTACATTTTCTAAACTTATAGCTATGTATTATCCCATTTTCCCTAATAACTTTGAGAGCTAAAGAAGCAATTCTCATTCACCAAAATCAGAGAGGGAATTTGCATAGCCCCACCCAAGAGAGACTTTTCCCCTTCCACATATTTTCAAAAATGTATTTTGAGCCAAAGTAATTGAGAAATTGATTAATGCCCATTAAATTAAGTAAACAAAACCTGATGGTGACACTAATACTTTTCCTCACACTTAACACCAAGCCATAGGAAACAAGTATTTGTAGAAATTTCATTCCTGTTTTGAATTCATCCCAAATAAAAAAAACAAACCTTTTTTAAAAAGTAGTCAATGACCATGGTCTGGTGAAGGCTCTGCCCTCATGTCTGAGAGGCACACTGCAGATGGTTCGACAAAGTGTCCATCCTCTCTCCTACTCCACTTTCATCTCCCTTCCGTGGACATAAAATAAAGGTTGCTGGCCCCACTCCCTTGTGATTCCAGAACCAGGTATTGACCAGGTTCACCTAACTACCAGGTGCTGTCTGGGACTAAGGAATAAAGCACGTGGAATCTACAGCTCCCGGTGGAAAGAAATCCATTAGAGAGAAATATAAGGGCAGATTCATTTCAGCTTCCTGGCGGTCCCTAAGCGAAAGAGATGAAGAACACGAGGAAAAATAAAGAATAATTTTCATTTCTTTTTACCTCATTTGCTCCTCACAGACATTTATGAGGTTGGGACATTATCTATAATAAAAGGGTAATGTGCTAATTAGACTGGACATCCTTCCTGACCAAGCTGGGGCAGAGGGAAGCCAGACCGGTAGGGGTGCCTCCGGGCAGCCGGAGCGGGGAAGCAGCCCATCCGGGGTGCTGGAGGGAAGCCAGCCCACCAGCCGATCTCGGTGCCTGCAGGCAGCTGGGGGAAGGAAGGCCTACTCCTGCACCCTTTTCGTGCATCGGGCCTCTAGTATATTTATAAAGTTCTCAATCCTGAAAAGCAGTACACAAGAAACTGCAATGAACTGGTCCGAGTTTTAGGAGGGGTCCCCGGGGAGAAAGCAGCGTGAGGGTAATGAAGTCCTCTGCAGAAAGAAGCGATAGTTACTGAACAGACGGTGTAGGTAGCAGGTTAGCAGGCTCGCGATCCATTTTAGGACGCCGCGCGCTGGGCAGCTGGTTCCGCCAGGAGGCGCCACAGCCTCGCGCCTGGGCAACTCGGGCTCCCGGCCTGTCCTGAGCCGAGCCCGCGGAGTCCCCCGGAGCCCAAGAGTCCTGGAGCATTTTCAGGTGAGAGTAGGGTGGGGTGGGGGTGGGGGACTGGTAAAGAAAGAAGGGGCTGGATCAGGAAGGGGGATTATTACTAGTCTCAGCCCTGTTGTAGAGTCACAGCCAAGCTCCAGCCTCCTTCCCCATACGCCTCCTCTTTCTCTCTCTTCTTTCTTCTGTTTCCCTCTCTCCCTCTCTCTCCTCTCTCTTTCCCTCTCTCTGTCCCCGAGGCTACCCCGAAAAGGACAGAGGGGCCTCGTCCACCATCACCGCGCACCTGGGAGAGGTGGGCGCGGAGCGCACGCGCCTTGACCCTTTTCTCCGGCTGTTAGAACTTTGGGGCGGATTAGGGGGGATGGGCAGGCTGTTCGCCGCTTGAGCCGAAGCACAGTCAGTCGCTGCTGGAAACCAAAGCGGCGAAGTGCAGAGGCAAGTGCACAGCCCACGAGCCGCTGCGTCCTCGGACCTCGCCAGGACCTCGCCAGAGGTAGCGCCGCGGGCTCCACCTAGAGCCGGGGTTGCGCACGACGCGGGGGCCGGAAAGCCAGTTGCTGAACGAGAAGGAAGTTCCCAGCACTTCTTCCTCCCCCTCGGTCCCCTCCCCGAACTAGTTCAGGGGGGTGCCCTTCGGCATTAGGAAGCCGGCGTGTG